CAAGCAATGATATCCCTCATGCTATGTCCTCTTCTGAATCTGGCTTGAATTTCTGGCAGCTCCCTGTCAGTACACTGTTACAACTGTCTTGAATTATCTTTAGAAAAATTTTGTTTCATGTGACATTAATGATATTGGGTGATTTCTGCATTCTGTTGGGTCACTTTTCTTTATGATGGGCACAAATACAGATCCCTGCCAGTCAGTGGGCTAGGTGACTGTCTTCCAAATGTTTGGCATAGACCAGCGAGTGCTTCCAGTGCCTTGTCAGTTTTCTGAAACTGTTCAGACCCCCAATTACTGGAGTCTTGGGTTTCCTGTTGTTGTTTGTAGTTGTTTTGTTAATGCCTTCAGAGTGTAGCTTGGATTTCTTTCTTCAGTGCCATTGGTTCTTGAGCATATGCCTCCTCTTGAAATGGTTAAATGTCAGTCAGTTCTTTCAGGTACAATGACCCTGTGTATTCCTTACATCAATGCATCCTGCATCATTCAATATTTTCCCCATAGAATCCTTAAATATTACAACTATTTAAAGGCTTGTTTTTTTCTTCCATTCTTTCATCTTGAGATATACTGAATGTGTTCTTCCTTTCTGGTCTTTGAACATTTTATTATAAGATGTAGTTTTATTGAGCTGCCCTTGGCATTTTCTGTTCAGCCTTTTTACTTCATCATTTCTTCTATTTACGTTAGCTTCTGTATGTTCAAGAGAAAGTTTCAGAATCTCTTCTGACATCCACTTTGATCTTTTCTTTCTCTCTTCTGTTCTTAATGACCTTTTGCTTCCTTCCTGTATGCTGTTCCTGATGTCATCCCACAGCTCATTAAATCTTATGTCAGTGGTACATGCATCAATCAAATCTTTTCTTGAGATGTTCTGGAAATCCATGTGGGATATACTCAAATTCATTTATGGGCTCTCATACGCTTGTTTTAATTTTCATCAACTTCAATCTGAACTTGCATATAAGCAATTGATGGTGTGTTCCTCAGTCAGCCTGTGGTCTTGTCTTGGCTGCTAATATTGAGCTTTCCTGTACTTTCTTCCCACAGATATAGTCTATTTGATTTCTATGTATTCTATCTGGTGAGGTTGATGTGTACAATCACCATTTATATATTTTGAAAGGTATTGGCAATGAAGAAGTTGATAGTCTTGCAAAATTCTATCATGCAGTATCCAGTTTAGCACTACAACAAAGGCCCTATTTTCCAACTACTGTTTTTCCCTCTTTGTTTCTAACTTTGGCATTCTAATCACCAATGGTTATCAATTCATTTTGATTACATGTATGATCAATTTCAGGCTGCAGACGCTGGGAGAATCCTTCAATTTCCTTATCACTAGATGCAGTCATTGGTGTGTCAATTAGAATAATAGTTGAATTAACTGGATTTCTTTGCATGTGTATAGATATCATCCTACCACAGAGAGCATTGAAATGTTCTTTTTGATAAATTTGTTATTCTCTGCAGAGTAAACTGTATCGTTGTCTGATTGAAAATGGCCAATACCAGCCCATTTCAGTTCACTGATGCCTGGGTTATTCTCTTTCTGTGTTCCACTTCATTTGGGACAATTTTTCCTGGATTCATACTTCATACATTTCACCTCCCGATTATTCATTTCTTTGCAGCTGTTTCTTCCCATTTTGAGTTGTGTCTCATTAGCAAATGAAAGTCTCTAAAACTCCAGTCGGTTCATGTCATTGTAGTCAACTCTGCTTTGCACAGGCAGCTCTTCCTCAGTCATGTTTCGAGTAGATTCCAAACTGAGGGCGTCACTTTCTGGCACTTTCTTGACAATGTCTCACTGCTATTCATTGGGTTTTAGTGACTAAGCCCTCAGAAATATACCACCGATTCCTTCTTCTTCCTTTGTCCTTCGTCTGGAAGCTCCACGGAACCCTGCTCACCTTGGGTGACGCTTCTGGTGTGTGAGATACCAGTGCTGCACCTTCCTGCTTCACCGCCATCAGCAAGCTAGCACAGCTCGACAAGCGGAAAGAACGCGAGTAGTGCTAATCCCTATGTTATATTGATTATTTCTGTATAGACCAATGAGTAATTATGAATATAGTCAGTATCTGCTATTTAAGTGAATTTATGCAGCAGCACATCCAAAATTCTATTATATTAAAGCCAGTTGGACATAGGACTACTTGAATCTCTCACTAATACTATTACAGCCTCCCAACCAGTGTTTCAGAGACGATGTAGCTTCACATTAGAAATCTCAGAACAGCATTCTTTCTACCCGTATGGTCTAGCAAAGTGCTTAGGAGACAGTCACTACCTAATAAATAATTACTAAGCACTAAATGAATTCAATTTATACAGTGTCTAAGAAGGAGAAATAAGCTACGGTAATGACTATTCCAAATTGTTAGGAAGAATACATTTATCTGTAAGTTGAAGAAACCTTCTAAAGTGTCTTAACAAATTCTAGATTTATTCATTAAAAATAATGAGAAGTTTATAAGTAAATAGTTCAGTGATAGTACTATGGGTCACAGATGGTATGAGAACTTAGTCTCCTTTGTATCTCTGGCTCACTAAAATTTGCATGAGGTTGTTGTTCTCCTTCTTGCACTATGCCAAAAAAAATGGTATGTTAGGCAAGAACACTTTAATAATCAAGTTATTTTAGAAGGATGCCTTATGCTGGGTGATCTAGAAAACCAAGACCAGTGAAACTTATGTATGTATATATATACACAGAGATACATATCAAGGAATAGCTCACACAGTTGTAGAAGTAGGAACGTCCAAGTCCTGATGGGTTCCATATCTGTAGATCACGTTAGGCTGGAGGCTTCTCTTGACTTGATTAGCTGTGGAGACTGATGAGACCAAGATAGCTGGAGAGGTGCAGTGGTGAATGAAAACAAGATCATTGGGTCAGATAGCAGGATGCTGATGACTCCCATGGCGAGTAAGCAATATGGCATGCCATTGGCTCATGTCCAAAGAACCAGGGGTTGATAAGCCAGATGCAAGATAAAGAAAAGACAAAGCAAACTTTTCCACAGTGTCCACTTATATTGGAAGTATGCTACACCCTTGGGGAAATTACCGGTAACTTTCAATTATTTGCTTCAGGGCTGTGATCTCAGTTAGGTTGCTGCATCACTCCCTAATCTTCATGCAACTCATTGACTACTTATAGTACATCCCATTAGGGAGGTAAATACATTGTAGGGATTATTGGGGGATTACTGGGTCATATCTGCCAACCAGTGAGAACCCTGACCCAGCGAAGTGACACAAACCTTAACTATCTCAAAGGCAAAGCTATTCAGAAGGACCTCTTGTTTCTATACACATTTCTAATGTATTTGAGGCCACTGTGAATACACAATACACTTTGTTCTTTGCTTTCTCATAGTAGCATATCTTTCATTGTATCTTTTAAAATGGAAGGATAATATTTTATCTTGTTCCCTCTCATAGTTGACAAGATCATTCTTGAGAGACTGGGAATCCCAAAAGGTTTTCAGTCTTAAGACTCTAGTTAATAGGAAATATCATTCTTGTTTATCTTGGCCACTTTTATTAGTATGAGTATACATAACATCGCTGTTAGGAGAATTTCATTCAAACCCATAAAAAATATAACTTATTCTGTTTCCTTGGAGACCTCGGAGGGAGGAATTAAATAGATCTCATGTTTGCCAATGAAAGCTGTTCGCCACACAGCCAGAATAGCCACCTGTCTGATGATCTATCCAGGGTACTGAAATTCTTTCGCTTCTCTTTGTATCTGTTCTAGCTATATTAGTGAATACATTTAACTTTATTTTTAAATTAAACTTTGCATTCTAATTGTAAAAAAATCATTCATAAATCCACTTCTCCAAAGCAACTATAAAAGGGTTTAGGTTAGTTTCTGTGGTAGTTACATAATTTCATGTCAACTTGTAGATCTAGGGGTAGTTTTCAACCTGTCAAGTAGATCACAGCCTGATGGTGCCTCCTTGTGGGCATAGTCTTCCTATAAGGAGGGCCCTGGGCACCTCCCTTCTCACTTCACCTTCATCTTCCTGCAGGCAAGCTACTCTGAGACGTGCTAGAGCTCTGGAGATGTTACCACCGCCATTGGATCCACATGACTGCAGTCACCAACCTGTTATCACCACCAATTCCTTGATAGTTCCTGCATTAGCATCATTGTTTGAGACTCCGTGAGTTTGAAGAGGGACTGGCCGATGGACTAGTATTGGACTTAAACACGCGGACGGGGCTGGGATGTTTTCACGATATAGAATTACTTCTTGATATGAAGTCCTTTCTTGATTTGTTTCTCTGGTCAACCCTGTCTTACACAATTTCCTCTTGTCTTGTTTCTATACACATTTCTAATGTATTTGAGACCACTGTGAATACACAACGCACTTTTGTTCATTACTTTCTCATCGTAGCATATCTTTCACTGTATCTTTTAAAATCAAAGCAAAATATTTTATCTTGTTTCCTTCCATAGTTGATTGAATCATTCTTAAGAGACTGGGAATTTTACTTTAAATATCCTTAATGAAATTATAAAGATATCTTCATGTTGAGTATTTTTCTATGTTCAATATTTAGAAAGGTTAACTTAGGAAATAATACTTAAAATATATTCCATCTAGTCACATTCTACGGGAAACTAAAAGCTCAAACCTGATAAAAACCTGATAAATTGCAAAAGTTACTGTGACCCTTAGTAAAAGTAAGTAAAGGGCTCAGAAAAGGCAGCATCCTTTTAGTGTTCAAAGATGAGCGAGATTTCCCCTGAGGATTCTCATAAAGAGACAAAGAACTGAATGTGCCAGTGGGCGCCGCGCAGCGTGGGCGTTGGTGGCAGTTGTGATTCGGAGCCGTTGGGACGCCTCTGCGGCAGCTGGTGGCGCAGGGGTCTGGCGTGGCCGCAGCCCCGGTGCCCGTGGGCTCGGGTTGCATCCACCTCTGAAGGAGAAGGGTTGGTCAAGAAGGTGAAGTGAACAGACTGTTCATTGAAGGAACGTGCTGAAAGCGCTGCAGGAGAAAGAAGCGACAGGCAGGAAAGCCGAGCCAGAGGAGCAAATGGAGACCGCACTGCAGAATCAAGATGCAGGAAAGACTGCAGACGTTAAGAAAGCAGAGAAGAGGCGAGAAACATCCATGTATTTTCGGCTTCAAAGGATACATGCTGAAATTAAAAGTGCACTCAGAATTGATCATCTTAACGTGAACAGATGTATTGCAGCCTTAGATGAACTTGCTGCCCTACAGATCACGATGCAACAAGCTCAGAAACACACACAGTTGATTACAACACTGGAAAAGATACAGCGATTCAGAGTTAGTCAGGTGATCATGGAAAAGTCTACAGCGTTGTACAACAAGTTTATGAATATGCTGTTGAGGGGTGAAGGAGGCTTTGTGATCACACAGGTGCTGAATAAATCACTCGCAGAACAGAAACAGCACGAGGAAGCGAATAAAACCAAAGATCAAGGAAAGAAAGGGCCAAACGAAAAGCTAGAAAAGGAGCAAGCCGGTTCCAAGACGGTAAATGGAGGCTCAGGTGCCCGGGACAGTGGCGATCGCAGTGAAGAAAGCAAAGACCATCACGCGGCCAGCGCTGCAACCAAGACGAACAGCGAAGAGAGCGATGGGGAGCTATCGCTGCGAGGCTTCTCCCTCGGTAACTAGGCCCGAGCACCTGGAACACAGGAACCTGAGGCGTTTGTAATGGTTCTCATGGGAAATAGACTGCTGAGAAATGCAAGTTTTAAAGTTTTATAAGCATAGGCTTCAATATTAAAAACTTGTTTTGGGGGAGACAAAAGCCCATGATCTTTGTTTAAATTTAAAACATTGCTAATTATACTACCTGTGCAGTATTAACAACTACAATAAACAGTGTGGGTGGGAAGGGGGGCTTTTCCAGACATTATGGTTGTAGCATATTTTCTCTTAGTATGTGTAAGTTAATGTGTAATTGATAGTAAAGTTACATTCTTAAGAGTGATACTTGTATAATACCTTCCCTCCCCCACTGCCCTATACTGTTGTTTTTGTGCATAGTTTTTACATGTCGGATTTCCCACATTGTCTTTTCACTGTTTTTGGATTCTGTAGAAGTTGAGCATTTTTATGGTAGCTGAAGTGTTACTTCTATGCAAGTACTCACTCGTTTTACCAAAAGATCATTTTAATCTTAGTCTACGTTGTGCCACACTCTCCGGCTTCTTTGTCACATGTGAGCTGTATACATTTTTTGCATGACAACCTGATATCCAACCGAAGGGGAACTGATAATTTTGTAAAGTCCAAAATGCATGTTAAGTTTTGAAGATAATTTAGTTCTGTGGCTGGGAATTCGGTGAAATCTCATGACTTCCTGCTAAGAGCAGAGTGGGTATATACTAGAATGAATGACTAGCATTATGACTATTATCCAACCTCCTGGCAATCAGCCATGTAAGATCCTTTATATGTATTAGGAGCTAACATTGAAAACTAAAGGATAAAAAGTTCATTTTTGAGGAACGTCTCAAGCTTGTGTTTTTAAAGTCACACTCATTAAGGAATTCACTGAAAAATAGTTTTTATAAAAATAGCTTTATTTATGCAATAAATAAAAATACTATATAAAAATCTAACCTATTTGAAAACATGACTTTAGAAGATACTTTCATCTTCATTTCTATGTCATATATAACAGGGATTACAAAAAAAAGGACAGATTGCTTCAAGGCAGTTGACGGTGACTTAGTACTTTGGTCTGTATACTCATATTGGGCTAAGTCAGGTCAAGACGATGCTAACCTACAATTTAAGGTTGCATTAGCTAAAGGTTGTTAGCATTCTGTTTTGACTATTTAAGTTGGAGGGTGGTTATTCAACAGCTTAAAAGACACTTTGCATTTTTAAAATAGGATCTTGGGGAAATAGGGTTAAGAGTTAGAATGGTAGCTCTGGGTTTATAAGTTGCCCCACCGAAAGCGGGTGGTAAGCACTGTATATTTTAAACTCTTGGATAATTGTTTTATCTTTAGATGTAAAGTTTCAATCTTCAATTTCAATAATTGAATTTTTGCATTCAAATAGTCTTATAATAAAACAAAGGCCCATTGTTTGATGGAGCTCCGCTATGTTATTAGATATATTTGGAGTTAGACATGTGTGTTCTAGTTAAACCATAGGTGTCAATGTGTAAACTTGTTTTGATTAAAAATGTTTTTATTAAACTCCTAAAAAAAGAGAGTAAGAACTAAGATAGTTTTTTGACACTATACAGTAATGTATTTCAAAAAGCTGTTGTTCATGAGATATCAGTGACAACTCACAAAAAAATAAACCAGTAAAAGTAATCATGTGGAAGGAGGATCAGTATAATGCTGTTCAGATAAGCAATGCTCTGCTGGTATAGTAGAACCCGGTAGAACGATGAATATCTAGAGCAAACATGTAGGCTATTTTCTATTAACACTATTTGTTTCGTAAAATGTAACAAAGAAAAAGAAATTATAATCTTGCTCATGAACATTTATGCAAACTTAAAAAAATATTAGCAAAACAACTGCAGCAATATAAAATGGATATTAATCACAAGCTCAGTTTGGGGAATTGAAGAGTGATTTAACATAAGCAAATCAATAAATATATTTCACCACACTAACAAAATAAGAGAAGAAAATCACGTGACTATCACAATGGATGCAAAAAGCTTCAATTACTATTTATAACAACTTTTAGCAAATTTTTAGAAGAGATATTCTTACTTGACAAAGGTTAGCCTGAGAAATCTTCAGAAGTCACTCTTAATGACTACATTGCAGGAATTGCAGTAATGCAGTCTTGCAATAATGCAGTAATATGGCTCTTTGAGCCATTGTCTTTGCTACTCCCACCAAATCACTTTTTCCTGATGGGTATGAATCTAAGAAGGTGGGGGAAGGGGCTGGCAGGATTGTACCATTCAGTTGTGATTGATGGTTAATTGTGATTGTCTTCCTGCTGCATATAAAATGGGCCATCTCAGAAGCAGGAAGGAGGCATCTCACTTCCAGTAGAAAGAAGAGCCAGGAGGGGAACTCATCCTTTAGACCCTGAAATCCCTGCACCTTGAACTTCCTTGACCTAGACGTGACAGCAAAGGAGCAACACAGGAGGAGCAGCAGCAGAAGCAAGAGCTGGAGAATGTCAGTGTAGTAAATTTCCCAGTACACAGAGCAAGAAAAGCTGAGTGCCTTTGGCCAGAAGGCTGACTTGTAAAGTAGGGTACCCCGAGCCACTTAATAGGGGGAGTTAGGTTTACTGACCCATGATTCTATGTCTCAGTGCCTTTGGGCTGAGATTCATGGCAGAGTGGCATGCCCTTTGAGTAAATATTGGCTGCCCTAAAAGAACTTTGTACCATTGCCCAAAGGGACATGTGGCTGAGAGGTCAATGACCAGAGGGGAGGCTTTTCTGTGGAGCTCAGCTGAGAAGGGGCTGTCTTGTCTGCATAAGTGTATCATGGGTGTTTGTGACATGCTAATTTCTCTGAGAAAACCCATAATTTTGAGTATTATCTGTGTCCAATATGGCCACTGCAATGAATTATCACACCCAACTGAAAAGTGGAGAGTGCTATGGGAAAGAAAGTTGATGTTAGAATTGGTGAAAAGGTTGGAGGGTGGAGGCATATCTGACTTCAGCCTTATAGAAATTGGCCTTGGGCAGCAGATGTTGATGCTGCTGCTGATCCTCCTTCCCCCCTTCGAAATCAGAGCAGATCAGACGCCCTTTACCCACTAAGTTTCAAATTACAGTAAAATACTATAATAATAAAATGTGCAAAGACTTAGAGGTAGAAAACCAAAAAGAAAAGAGACCTTCAGCTTATCTTAAACTAAAAGACCCAAAGAAGAAATTCAAGCCTCAATTTGCAATATTGAAGATTCTTTGGGCAAAATATTGAATGATGAAGGAAGTAGCAAAAGAAGATGGAAGGAATACACAGTCACTGTACCAAAACTAGTCGACATTCAACCGTTTCAAGAGGTAGCACATAAACAAGAACCAATAGTACTGAAAGAAGTCCAAACTGCACTGACAGCATTGGTCAAAAACAAGGCTCCAGGAATTGATGCAATACCAATTGAAATGAAGCACTGGAAGCACTCAGAAAATTTGGAAGACAATTACTTGACCTACTGACTGGAAGAGATCCACATTTGTACCCATCCCAAAGAAAGGGGCCCTATGTTAGTCTGGGTTGACTAGAGAAACATATTCATAGACACTCATATGTGTATGAGAGAACTTTATATCAGAGCAATTGTACATTAAGAAAACATCCCAACCCAATCCAGATCAAGTCAATAAATCTGATATTAGCCCATATGTCCAGTACCAGTCTGTAAATTCCTCTTCTGTCTAGTACCAGCCTGTAAATTCCTCTACACACTAATGCAATATGTGCAATGACACCAAATTCAGGAAGATCACAGGCCAGTGGGTGGAAAGTCTTGTGGATCCAATGGTGGTGGAAGATCTTAGCACTGGTGTGGGTCTCCACGTGGCTCCGCTAGCTCGGCTGCCATCAGCATAGCTTTCTGTGGCTTGTCAACAGAAGCATCTCACAGGGAGTGTGTGAGGGTCCTGCCTCCAGCGAACTATTTACCTCCTTACCAGCTCCCAAATGAGGTCATCAAGCTGTGACCTGATTGACAAACTAAACCCCACCCCTAAGTCTCAAATTGACAACAGATAATGTAACTACCACAGGCCCCGATAGAATACTTAAATTAAAAAAGAAGTAAAATTGCTGAAGATCATCAGAAAACAGTTGCAGCTGCAAATTGACACAGAGCTGCCAGAGGTGAAGGCCAGATTCAGAAGACGTGAAACAAGGGATATCATTGCTGATGTTAGATGGATCTTGCCTCAAATCAGAGAATATTAGAAAGATATTTATTTGTGTTTTATTGATTATAATAAGGCTATTGATTGTGTGGATTATACAACACCGGATATCCTTGAGAAGAATAAGACTTTCATAACACTTCATTGTGCTCATGTGGAAACTGTACATGGATCAAGAGGCAGTTGTGCAAACCAAACAAGGGAATACTGCTTGGTTCAAAATCAGGAAAGGCGTGCATCAGGGTTGTATCCTCTCACTATACTTATATAGTCTGTAAACTGAGCAAATAATTAGAGAAGCTGGATTATGTGAAGAATATGGTATCAGGGTTGGAGGAAGGCTTATTAACAATCTGTGATATGTTGATGACGTGACCTGATTGTTAAAAGTGAGGAGGACTTGAAGCACTTGCTGATGAACATCAAGGACTGGAACCTTCAGTGTGGATTACAATTCAATGTAAAGAAAACTAAAATCATCCCAACCGGACCAGTAGGTAACACCATGATACATGGAGAAAAGGATTCTATCAAGGATTCTGTCTTGCTTGGATCCACAATCAGTATTCATGGAAGCAGCAGTTGAGAGGTCAAAGGGTGCATTGAATTGGGTAAATCTACAAAAGACCTCTTTAAAGTATTGAAAAACAAGGATATTACTTTAAGGGCTAAGGTGCAACTGACCAAGGATTTTCAATGGCCTCATGTGCATGTGAAAGTTGGACACTGAATGAGGATGACCAATGAAGAGTTATTTCATTTGAGCTATGGTGTTAGTGAAGAGTATTGAAAGGAC